CTTTGGATGCATCTGAAGAAGTGGGCTGTAGTCCACGAAAGCTTATGCTCCAATACTTCTGTTAGTCTTAAAGGTGCCACAGGACCCTCTGTTACCTTCCAGGTGGTGCTCATGCAGGATTGGGCCCTGGAGCAGATTGAGTGGATGTTAGGTGATTTTGGTGAGGTTTGCTTTGTTAAAATCCTGATCCTCTCGAAGTCCAGGGGAGCTTGCCATTGATTTCAGTGGAGCCAGGATTTCACCCTATATTTTTAAAAGGAGAGGAAGTTAGGGTTTGCAAGATCAGGCCCTTATTTATAAAAGTAAGCCTTACATAATGGGGATATGTGCATGAACAAAGATTATGTACAGCAATAAGGATGTGCTCCATAGGGCTTACAGCAAGCTTTAGAGTTGTATTGTAGTCTTATTAGGAAGAGGATTAGCATTTTCTTGTGGTACACCTCTACCCTGATATAACACTGTCTTCAGGAGCCAAAAAATCTTACCGTGTTATAGGTGAAACCACGTTATATCGAACTTGCTTTGATCCGCCGGCGTGCACAACCCCACCCTTTCGGAGCACTGCTTTACCGTGTTATATCTGAATTCATGTTATATCGGGCTGTGTTATATCGGGGTAGAGGTGTATTGTGAAATGTACAAGCAGAATCCTGTGGTCAGGGAGCTGTGCTAGTGACATCAAAGGACTGCTTTGCACAAGTAAGGGTTTGATTCCAACTGGATTGCTGTGTTCTGCAGTGTGTGTATATACAGAATGTATTCTTGTCACATGGGACTATATATTCTTGCATAATAGATCCGATGGAAAAATAAAAAAAACGAATACAAGGTAACATGGGGCAGGGGAAAGCAGAAATGGCACATTTAACTGAAGTTGTGTTGCGCTCAGCAGAATGGTGTTTCTGTTAGGCTGGCAGCAAACAGGCTCAGATTCTGCAGTAGGATCTTCATGGTTAGATCCTTGCAATTGCATGAAGTCCCACTCAATTTAATGGAGCTGTGCTTGGGTTCCAGGGTCCCCCACCACATCTGATTAAAGTAGTAGGACTGTAGGTGTGTGCTCTACTTATGGTAGATTTTAAATTAGTCCATAATCCAACAATATATAATATTTAGCTATGTCACACGATGGGAATATGGGAAATGGAAGAATTTAAAAACTCAATGCAGAAATCTGTTAATGGTTCATGCACTGTATCAATACGTTAATTGAACCAATGGTCATAATGGGTCAAGTTCTTCTTCTCCTTTATAGCAGTGTAAATACAGAAGAATTCCACTGAATTAGGCCTGTAATAAGATCTATGAGAGCTTATTCTTGCTTAACTTCAAGAAAATCAGAGCTTTTATGGAGCAACAAGAGAAATAAAGATTTAAAATATTATTGTAAAACAATTTGGCAGCAGAACATAGGTATAGAAGCTGTACTTGTAACTTAATTTGCTTTTTTGAAAGAACAGGAGTACTCGTGGCACCTTGGAGACTAACAAATTTGATACAGACTAACACGGCTGCTACTCTAAAACCTTTTAGTAAGACTTATTTCTACTGTGAAAAAACAAACAAAAAAACCCAACAGCTTTGTCTAACATGTTTAAACAAATTCATTTTTAATATAGTATCTTTTCAAATGAGTTAACTGAATATTCTATAGAAACTGATCATCTACTGGTGCTCTTTCAAAAAGACTTTTAAAAAAAGAATGTTCTGTTGTATTGAGAACAAGAGTCAAAAAGATATCTGACTTCAGAATACCTATTCTAATAAAGCATTGGAAACACTCTAAATTGGAAAGTGTTTAAAATAAATGGGCAAAATTCTGCTCTGAGGTCTACCTATGATTTTATTTAGCCCTGATTCTACAAAGCATTATGTATTTTAATCAATCCCGATTCAGTATAGCACACAAGCACATGGTAACTGATTGATTGCATGAGCAATCTAACCATTCGGACTACTTGGTTTAAAGTGAGGCAGGTGCTTAAGCACCTTACTGAATCTGGACCTAAAATCATTGTGGATACGTGGGTGTACCTAATTGCATGATTTGGTCCGATATACTTGCAAGATCACAAATGTTCTTACCTCTATTGCTAGTAACATCACTGGTTAGTCGGATGAAGAATTTTATTTAAAGGTAAAAGTTACCACTTCTGCATTTTATTTGCCCTTTCTGGTGCTCTTAACTTAGATTTTGACTGTTTAGTTTCACTTTCATTTATCTTCTTTTTCCAGTCCTCATGCATTTCGGACAATGCTGAAATGTTTGGGTTCCAAAAGGGATGTTTAAAGAAACATTCTTAGTTTAAAAGACTAACTGTAAATAAATCTCTTACTAATACATTAGAATATTAAAAATGGAAAAATGTTAAAAATCCAATATACCCATCACTTTAACTTGCTTTTTATATTTCTCTCAACTTGGACAGAGAGAATTAAGTCAGTTTCACTTCTGGATTCTTAAGGTTGAGGTTTCAAAGACTACAGGGAAGTGTTTATTTTTTGTTTGTAAAAACAACTGTTTTAAGATATTTAAAATGTTAGAACATTTCAGTTGGTGTTTGGTTTTATTAAAAATCCCCCTGTGACAGGGTGACCTCACTGGAAGCATCCTCCAGCATCAGGTTGCAGCAGAACAGGCACCCCTGCTTCAGCATTCCTCTTCAGAGTTCCCAGTAACACCACACAGGTTTCTCTGATTCACTAATACCCTCCAGGGGCAGGCAGGGGAGGATTTACTAAAACCTAGATCAAATAATCCATAGCAAAAACCGCAACTAGTCCATTTCTCACACCCAGTGATATAGGCCTGGTCCACACTAACCCCCCACTACGAACTAAGGTACGCAACTTCAGCTACGTTAATAACGTAGCTGAATTCGAAGTACCTTAGTTCGAACTTACCGCGGGTCCAGACGCGGCAGGCAGGCTCCCCCGTCGATGCCGCGGACTATTTTCGCTCATCTGGAGGACCGGCGTTGGAGGCACGAGTTCTCGCGCTC